AGACAACCTCACAGAGTAGTTACCTCCAGTTGCCAAGTTCATTCTGCTCCTCCCCAGGACTTAATTATGTGCAAGCCATATAAATGGTTTTAACCAATGGGGACCCATTGCTCTCCCTGAGTTCTGTGACTTCACACTGCCTTTGCCCTTGAACCTACAATGGAATGTCTGGAACATGTCCTGCCCATGTAAATGGACTTCTCCACAGAAGGCATCTATTGTGCATTCATGATTCCTCAGTCATGGTGCTTTACATGACATCGTCCTTCTCCAGGGTATCTCCTGCTATTTGCAACCATCTCCACAACACTTTTTCTCAGACGAGGAAAATGTGCTATTATTCAGAAAAGGCAGAATGAAATCCTTATTTTTTGTGCAATTCCACTATACTGCAGCTCCACCTTGCAGTTGTGTAATGGAATCTGTAGAAAGACAGGGGAAGAAAAACTCCAGAAAGAAAATGCATGTAAAAAAGCCATTCTTAATTCTGTAAAGAATCTGGAAACCTCAGTAAAGTGGTAGAGTCACCCAGTATCAATTGGTAATTAATGACTTTTGCCTCTAGATTTCAGTGGTTCTGAAATCACTTCCAAAGAAAGGCATGGTACCTTTTCCCACCGTACACTCTGGATACTAGAAAACTGGATGTATTTGTCTTTAAAATGTTAACATTGCACAACACCCATGTAATAAAGCAGGAAAATGATTCTGAGAGCATCTCCACAACACAGATTAAGAATACTTCCAAATTAGGCTTTTATCATGCAATCACTTTGCCTCATTCATGGGATTTTCTTGGATGAGGGCAATTCCATACATCATTTTCTGTTTGTACCCCCTCATGTTTTTCCACCATGTTTTTCATCTCTTTATTTCTACAGAAAATCAGTGAGGGAAAAGACAGAAAAGCTCTACTGATAGCACTGGTAGCCCTCCATCTGGAGCTCCCTTAGAATTTTTTCTTGCAAATTCTTTTTCTTTGAGGGATGAGACAACCTGAACAGCATTCTTGGGATTCTCATCAAATACAGCTACGCTTTCATGTATTCTACTAGGGAACCTCTGACAGTTAAGGTCTGGTGCCTGCTGGTAGCTGTAGGCTTTTTTCTTCCTTATCATGCATAGAACTGTGCCTTTAATTATATAAAATGAGACAAATGTAAGTTTATCACATCGGTATGACCTGAATTAGTAAAAGCATTCCAATACATCACAATTTCCCCATTCTTGTGCACAGCCACTGGAGTACTTTCTGTGTTCTTGGCATGGCCTTTGTGAATACAAGGAGTTCCTTTTACCAGGGCCAGATGATCACTCCAGTCTTAAAGATGTTAAGGATCTCCTCTATTGCTACCATGTGCATTGCAAGCAGAGAAGAATAAATCATAGGGAGGAATACAAGGGTGGGATGAAATCTTAGGCGTGTATAAGCAGCAGCTGCTGGGTGTTCTAGAACATTCCTCAGATAAATTCTAGACCACCCAACAGCTGCAATTTAGACACGCCAGAAATGTCCTCTTGCACTGACCTCCTCCTACTGGTATTTAGGATAGGCTGCTTGGTGCAAACAGCCTTAGAGCAAATCTTCTCAGATTGCTTCTCCCCTTCAAATCCTCCCTTTTGGACCCTGCCATAGGAATGCATCCTTAGGGATCTGTGATCCATCCAATAAAAAACCCTGCATTTTTCAGACCAGTGACTTTTTGAATAGCATTTATTATTAGCAAGATTTTCCAGATGCATTAAAAAACCATGCCTTGCAATGCTAATTCATTGTACCATCACAAATGCTGCTTTCGCCACAAGTAGAAACCACCATATTTGTCGATGTTTGTTTCAAGTGATGCCTACAACTGGATTTTAGTGGGGCTACTTGAGGTTTGTCATGGGATTAATGCACCATGTCTGGAATAGTAAATGCATGAATCCATCAGCAATTGAGAGCGAAAAGATGCCTGGATGCACAACTGACCTAATTGTCCAGCAATTGGGTCACCTTTCTTCTAAGGCCAGTACCATTTTTACCTGTATGGACTTTGAATAAGACTACCTCACCTCTTTTCATGAGTCATCCAGGGTGCATTCCACTGGTGTGGAATTGATACCTAACTTTAAATATTTCTTTTACTTGAGAAAGTCATATAAAAATATTGCAAGTCACACATAAGGTATTTTCAAATCAACCAAACTCTTCTTCTGCTAGGTGGGTTTGGAAGACGGGGAAGTGTACATAGGAGTCATAGCAAAGCTGAGGAGCAGACGTTAAACCTGGCCTATTCCATACACGTATGAAATAATTATGGTTACAAATTCAAGGAGTTCCATTCTAGGAGTGAGCCATCATTAGGTCTCCTTAGGGTACAACTGGGAAGAGCCAGCCCCTTCTAGACAATGGAAAACTTATCACTCTCAGAACAGAAGCAGTGAAGATCACTGCTTGCAGAACGGTCAGAAAGAACCAACTCTACCATCAGGAAATAACTTTGGTGCCTTTCCTTTGAGCCACTGCACTGGCTGACCTAGTATATAGGATGGGTTCAAATCACAGCAGCACCAGATCAAGCATCCTGGATCTGTGGAGTGGAGAGCTGCTCCAGGATGTGGCATTGATACACCAATGTAAATTAGTTGTGATGCGCCAGCGATGAGCAACATCAACTGGAACAGCTTCTTTACATGTTCTTTCAGATACTAACAAGTCTGCATGGTCAGTTTAAAGGAACCTAGCTAATACTTGCTAGTAATCTGTCTTTTGTGGGTCTTCAAATGAGAGAGAGGCTGTAGGTCAGACTTGCCAAGCAGTGGATGGTTTTGCAGCTCTGACTAGCTCAATGGCTCTGTGCACAACCTGAAGTGGAGCAAAAGGTTGTGGCTGTAAGGCCAGATATTTGAAAGGAAATCCCACTGCGATCAATGGGACGTCCCCCCAGGTTCCAGTACTGCCAAGTAGTTTCAGACTGAAAGTTGATACACTAAGAAGCTGTTCACACACCTGGCAGAGATTTTAGCCAGCTATCAAGCAACATTAGGTACAATACATGATGAGAAAGCTTATCGGCAATAGTGATAGCTAAGCCAGAACCATTTCACAGAATCAGATTTCCTCTAATAGTGCAACTGAGAAAATTGGCTGTGCGAATCAAGTGTCACAAAAATGGATTCTGCCGCCTTCACTTACACATGCACAAAAAAATCAAATAATGCGCCATGCTTGGAGCTGGCTCCTAAGAAGTAGCTTCTGGATCAAACCTAGATTCCTTTTGCATCTTTACTAGAAGGGACCAGAGGTCAGTGGGAGTTCGTGTTTTATACACAGTCGCCCCCAGTCTCCCTGCCATCTGTCTTCTTTAAAAAGTTAGCAAATAATAAGAAAGACTGCTGTTGAGACTCGGAGAACCTTTGGCAGTCAAACATGCACCGCACCAGGGTACTAGTGAATACTTGTTGAACTAGTGAATAGACAGTCATCCAGGCCATGGGAAACTATCACATTTATTTAGCTTTTTTGTACCCCAACACAGCAGGCTTAGGAAAGAAACCAACAGCATCACAGGAGAATTGAAAACAAAAGCTAAGATTATTGCGAAGCAGGGAGGGAGTATCTAGGAAAAGTGTACAGAAGAAACAGCTGCTCTTGGAGCATGTGGGCTGCTCGGAATCTTTCCTAGAAGGGTCCATCAGCAGATCTGCTGTATTTGTGGCATCTGCTTGTCTTTTAAGAGAAGTCAAGCATCAGCTAAAGAGAGAGGGAGCAGACCTGATTCCATGTGGACTTGCCACAGCAGAAACAAGAGGCACTAGATCATGCAAAACCCCTGCACAAGACTAAAGATGCTGCTAAAGTCAAAAGCCAGGAGTTGCCACTATTATGCATGCATGGTCATGCAAGCAGGACCTCTGGGTGATCAGGAGGTAGTGGGGGTGTTGATGATGCCATGAGAGGGCCAAAGGTTTATATGTTGAAATAGGGTAGGTAGAGGACCAGGCCAACAGATCATGAATAGCATTGCCTGATCTAAATGCTGAGGCAGTTTAGCAGAAGAAAAACAACGGATAGAACTGAAACATACAGAAATATGTACTCACTTCACTCTTACACAGAGATGTTTGATTCCCACACATAGTTTATTGACTGATGCTGCTTTTACAGTGTGTTTCTACAGAGACTCATATCAGTCCCCTTAGTCAGTTTCTAAGTCAGTTTCTTCCACTCTTCCACTCTTAGAAGCAGACCAGATCAGTTTGCCTCGCTTTCCTAGCGGGAAAGACCGCAACTGAATTCTGGGCCTCAAAGCTGCAGAGTCTGCTATCCGGAATAGGCTAAAGAAATTCATTAGATCTGCATGCATTTTCTCAGATAATTTGTTCAGCTTTCAAGAGCAAGTTTTACATAATCAGGTGGCTTTAGTTAAAGAATGGGCCGACAGTGGAGAATGTAGGGAGGGTATGCGATTCCTGCACAGACAAACTGGGAGGCACAGGAATGCCATGCAGGCCTAGTCCTGAAAATAAATATGGCCCTGTCAGTGGTGCTCAGAGAGAGAGAGAGAGAAGAGGGCGTGGATGATCGTGAGCCCCCACCCCCCTTGCCAGAGGCAAGTCTCTTGGTGGTGCAGGGCTACATGGCGTTCCATGCACTTTGCCCTTAGCAAAGCTTGTGGAGAGGAAACAGAAATAGAAGCTTGGGAATGTATCCCACATTCTCAAGCTGAGGAAAACATGGGGGCTGTGGAAATAAACTACATTTCCTGCCAAAGTCCTCAAGAATTGCCACAAGCCTCATGGTTCGGCTGTGCTCCAGACCATGTTTTACAGAGTGATCAACCACCAGGCAAGCTACAATGCTACTCCCAGCGGGGTGGCACACTCACAAAAGTGCAGAAAGAAAAAAACAGACACGCATGCACATGGACATACATACACATGCATGCACACATGCACACACATGCAAAAGAGAAGATGGACGGCTCTGCATATAAATACATCTGACCTGCATCCCGCTATAAACTGTTGAGCCAATAAGGCCTGGCCTTCCTGAGTGCGTTGCCCCAGGTGTGCCCGCACGAGCTGCACTTGCTGTGCCTCTGCCAGCGAGGGAGCGGAGAAAAGCAAGGAGCGTAGGGGTACCTGAAGGTCAGCTCTTTCAGCGCAGCCTTTATTTCATCGGCGTGGCTAATGCGTTTACATCCAAGGCAGGGGAGGCAAACAGACATTGAAGCTGCCTTACCTGCAGAGGACTGAATGGCATTGTTTGTCCCCTTTATTGCTTTGGCATAAGCTGACAAACGGTGGGATGGAATTTTTCTGGAAAGAGAAGGCTTCTTAGGGAAGGTGAAATTCCTGTGAAAGGGATGCCTGGAGGTGGAAGGAAGCCTGGGGATTGGCTGAATGGTGGAGGGTGTTTTAGGCCTGGAGCGTGGCTTTGTGGTGAGAGGCGGTGGCATCACGGTAGTTGGGGGCTGCTCCAAATTGTCTGTGGGAGCTTTGGATGAAGATAAGCCACTAGTTGTTATCACCAAGGAGGCAGTCGTCACCACCGCTTCCGCCTGCAAGTTTGGAGAAGTGCTAAGGTCCAGGTCTGAAGTTGGTGCTAGGTAAGAGGTTGGCCCTTTGGCTGTAGAGTCCTGAGATGGTTCTTCTGTGCTGGTTTTGACAGTCTCTGGTAATCTTGTTGCTGAAGGTGTTTTGGTGAGTTGCAGAGTAGGGCTTGCAGTCAGGTCAGAAGCTGGTTCTACTCTTGTTGGGTCAGGAGATGCTGTGTCTATTTCTGCATCATCAGTAGTGGACTCAGTCGTTGTCTGTGCATCAACACTGGATTCTACTGAGAAATAGGGAGAATGATAACAAAATCCGTAAACATGACCATCTTCCAGAGGAACAATCAGAATGGGAAGCTGAAGTTTCACTTTCACATGTAACACTTTGAGGCTAATTGTAGGGCCCCCTACCAAGAAACAGAGTCAGTCTCAAGCACCACCTCCTGTATGCCCTTAAGGGGAGCAGATTGGCAGTGCTTTATTTATTAATGTTTACCTGGATTTAAATGTCATTCAGATTTTCTGCCACGGGGGCAAAAATGTCTGAAGCCTACCTAGGGATTAGCAAAGCTGTCAAACTCAATCTTGGTCAAGTTCTAATTTTCCCATTAAGTTCATTCAATCCATCAGAATGAAGATGATTATTTTTCTTTTGTATGGAAATGTGTACATATTTCCATGCAGCTCTCTTTCATAATATACACATTTGGTACACATATTTTTCAAAAGAATGCATTTTGCAATTTCTTTTCGTGAAATAAAGTATTTTGTATGTGATTAAAATAGATTATTTTTGTGTACTTTTTGAGAGGGAGGGGGCAAACTGCATTGCTAAATTTGGATACATAAAAATATTGACAACTAACTGTGACCCATGTCTAAATTAAGTGCAATGTGGTAAGTTAACACTGAAATGGCAACTGAACAGATTTCCCACCCATTCCCAGACCCACCTGGTGAAGCATCTTAGAAACTAAAAAAGAAGAAACTCAACTTTAGATAGATTGTCCTCGCTACAAGCCACAGTCTGGATCCTCGCAACACACTCATCCACAGTGGGTTGTTATCACAGGCAGCCGTAGAATGGCTTGGCGTGTACCCAGAGCTGTTTTCTCGCCATGGGTAGCTATGTGCAAATAAGCCCCTCTGGAACTGTGGCTTATGGTAGTGTTGTTGAGGTTGCCTTGATCTCAACATGGCTCAGTGTGATGCTTGAACCGATCAGGGCAACTTTTCCAGCAAGAGCAGCTAGAACTGCTGCCTTTTCTGATCTTGCTAGCACCACCGTCATTCTCCCTCATGCTTTCTCAGCTTCACAGTGAATTGCTGTAAACTGCCCAGAGAGCTTTGGCTGTTAGGCAGTATAGAAAAAAAATAAAATGTAGGAATTCTGAAGAAAGGACACAAGAGAGAGTCCAGCATGCATTCCCAATGTTTTGTTCTGTTCTTTATTTTCAGTCCCAAGCAAGCAAATGACCACTGTTAGTAATTTTGCAAAATTTCCTCGCCTCCCCTGTTTTACAGCCTTGCCATACCGTTTGCATATGCTTAGCAATCCTGCTCACTGCTGTGCAGCCATATGTATATCTGGCAGCTAGCAGCAGAGGCCAGTAGATGGAAGCGATAAGGACAAAGGGGTAGGAGAACCAAAAGCTGCAGGAGAGAAGGAACTTTAGGTGTGGGTGTTATTTTTTTAACACCTGCTTCATGTTGTTATGCTGAAATAATAGCAAGGAAAGTGCTAGCAGGGAAAGCGTCTAAGCAGAGGAGGTGGACAGGAGATGGATATGGGTACATTTAGGTCAAGAGAAGGCAGATAGTCTTGTGCAAGAGTGGCAAGACACTGGCAGAAAAGAGCCGGCAAAGGTTCATAATCATGTCTTTCGTTAGCTGTCAGTTAGAGTGGACCAATTGTATGAATGGAGCTGACATAGTAAACAAGGTGAAAGGAAAGTTCCTACTGCAATGCAGTGGCCTGGCATTTTGAGAGCGACTGACAGAGACGCAAGTCAGAGGAAGCTGTTGAGCAAGGCAACCGTTTGTTGGGAGTCGGGTACAAGTCCCACCCACTGTGGCTTCTTCCCAGGTTGGCTTCATATGATGTGCAAACTAGCACACAAATTTGCCCATCATCTCCCAACATTTTGGCAGTCTAACATTTTAACTTTATTTTGAATTGCATTTTATTCTGGACTACTAGGTTGATTCAATTGCTATTGTGGTTTTCTGATTTTATGTTAATCTGCGTGTGTGCGTTTTAGACTTCTGTTAGCTGCCCAGACAGCCTCGGCTCTTGGCTGGTAGAAAAATAAAAAAATAAAAAAGCCATGTCCATGCTTTCACCCAAGAGGCCAATTTCCTAGGATGCAACTCATGGTGAGAGGAAAATGAGTTGTCCTTCAGCCATATGAGCTTAGCTTATGAGCTTATGAGAAGGAATCTCATAAGCAGTGACTGCCTGTGTTTTATTATCCACTGTATTCAACACTTTCAACTCCAAGGACAAAGGCCTTCAGAGCTATAGAATATGATATCTATGAGTTGATTCACACATGCATGCATATCCTGTTATCTTTCTGCTTGATGTGTTGCTTGGTGGAGCTCAGCTGAACATGTAAACTGCTTCCACTGAAGTGAATTCTAGCTGTAGTGATGAAAAGCAGAACAGCTCTGTCTCTGAACTTCACACAAGCACTAGGTCATGGGCAGATTAATAGATGCAAATCATTGCTTGACATGGTAGCCACCGAGTGATAAACATCCACCCAATGGCTACTGATGTTCTCAGTATGGCAATGCAGGACAAGTGTCTCTCCCTGGCACCCCAAACAGAGGATCCAAATATACAGAGTACAACATGCTGGTCATGTTGAATTGGCTGTGGATCCTGTATGGATTCTGGAGGGCAGGGAGGAGTTGCACGAATGTAGCTGAACCAGTCATCTCTAACCTGGTGCTTTCCAGAAGCGCTGGGCTGCTACCGCCAATGGCCTGGAAAGTATGGGAGTTGCAGTCCATCCCAGCTGGAAGGTGCCAGGTTGGAGAAGGTTGATCTAAACTCAGGAGTGCCGTGCACTGGAGTTAGGGTGGGAAAAGGCAAGGACTCTCTCAATAAAGCAAGTCTGTTGGACATACGCCACATTCAGCCTGGGACAGGAAGTAGGTGAGTGCTGGCAACTCCTTGGGCCTGGTGACAGACTCTGCACATCTGGAGTGTACGTCTGGAGGGAAAATGTTGAGTCAAACATTCTTTTTCATTCTCAACAAAACCACAAAACAAAGGGAAGAAGCAATTTACTCTGCCTCCCATGGAACAGGAGGTTTGACAACAATCATCCCTAGGTGAAAGCAGCCAGGGAAAATCAATATGAGGTCAGATAATCTTCCCCAGCAGTCAATAGAATTAATTTCACTGAAATCTGAGAGTGGGAAATGGGACTAAACTTGTGTGCAGACTAGGTGCTTTTTCCTGACTTACATTAGGGAGAGAGAAACTATCCCCTCTAGGCTTGTTCACTTACCACAGAGAGATTTCTTACAGGAATAGCCATCTGGGCACATGGAACATGAAGCTCCTTCTTTGTATGGTTTATTTCCTTTTACATTCCCCCTGGAGATTAAAAGACTCACATGTGATTCAAATAGCAAGGTGTTTGTCTGAAGAAGAAGCACTTTTCCCTGACCGTGCTTGCCTCCATCAGCTTGGTCAAGGTCTCCCCAGCTTCACCTGAGCAGCAGAGCATGGCTAGCCCAGCTGCATTACAACTGGCCAACCACTGACATAGGCTGTCTTAAGGGGCTACTAACGTACATCAAGCATGCATTGCCTGTTTGTAGCCATTTGGTGTATGAGACTTTTCAATGAGAAGGCATTAAGAAAATGGGGGTTCGTTCTAAACTGTTTGCCTGGTCACGCTTCCAGTAGAGCAGTCTTCCCCAGCCTTGGGCCTTCCAGACATGTTTGGAGTGCAGCACCTGGAATTCTCAAACAATGGCTCTGCTGGATGGGGATTCTGGGAGTTGTGATCCAAATGCCTCTGAAGGCCATCAGGTTGGGGGAAGGCTGATGTAGAGGAACTACCTGATATCTCCATTCATGATTTCATAGAGCTGAACACCTGAAGAGACATCAAAAGCCTAGACTGGCATGTTCTTTTTAAATCAGTCTTCTCCTCTGCCACATTTTACATTCACCTCCCTATTATATAATTTCCAAACTTTAACATCTTGGCTGAAATACTGTAAAAATGAAGAGCAATGGCTTATACTTCAACAGACCAGTATGACCACCCAGGCAAGATCTGCCAGGAAGGACTTTTAGTTACACATTCTTGCATCTCACAATATACAGTCCATTAGGTGACACAAATAGATATAGCCCTGATATAGCCCTGAACTGGAATATTTACCTAGAGAAGCCATCTTAAGCCTGCCTCTGCAATCATCTGGAAAAATTCTTTAAAAAAACAAAAGCACAACAAACAAGTCCTCTCTGCTCAGATAGTTTTAAGGATGGCCAATAACATAGGATTGCCCATAATAAAGGGTTAACTATCTTTTCTCTAGTACATCAAATGTTTTAGAACATGATTTTGTATTTTGGCTGTTTTAATGTATGTAGGAGAAGAGCAATTTTATCATGAAGTTGGATGCTTTGAATGGTAGGGTAATTGTGTATACATTCGCACATACATGTAAAATTCATTACATGTTTAAATGAAATACATGAAATGTAAATGAAATGAAATTGAATACTTAGATTTAATTTAAATAAAATAATCAAATAGGGTACATTCAGGCTGACAGAGTTAAAGGACATTTTTCTTAAATGTTTATGGTTATCCTTTAAGTCAGCAACAAAAAGCACAGGAAACAAACTGGATAATTTTACTCCATGACCACAGTTTTGTCATCATTCAAACTATTCCTAAGACTGACAGGGATAGGAACTGTAGTCCAGATAAGGTTGATTCCAGAAATGAATCTAGAAGGGAGCCTCCATTCCTGAATGGATATATTTATCAACCAGAACTGTTAGCCCATATTTAAACCATGGCAGTTATTAGCAATAGTTATCAGTAGTGCAGGAGTAACTGTTATACCACAAGTGGTAAAGGAATAGCAAAAAATACTAACAAAAAACTTCAGAGAAAAACACCACAAATTGAGCATGGGGACAAATACCTTTGATTACCAATTGTGGCACTGTTGCTTGTCAACTGAATTTGCATTTTCTCTTTTTACTTCTTTTGAAAGACAAAGACAAAATATCACCAGGAGCACGCTATTCAGGACCATTTGGTTATATATATGCAACTTTTCTTGGAATCTGCTGCCTTCCCATTAGCATTAAACAATTGGCAAGGAAGACCCATTTGCATGTACCGTGTTTGTGTTAGTGCAGAATTCAGATGTCACTAGCACAGTGGAGACCCACCAAGAAGTAATCAAACAGTCCAACCTATAGTTAGTGCAAATTGTGTGCACACTGGACACACAACTTTGTGATGCACTCTGCAATGCAAGACAGACATAATTGCAATCACAGTGTTGCGGACTGCAATTCATCAGCAGTATCACTATTGCTGGACTTTTCTGTGTCACACTGTTCTTGTGTAAACAGGCACTCTGCTTTGTGGAATGGTTTATCCTGTAGCAGAACTGACAGATGCAGCTGCCAACACAACAGCTGTAGAACTTCAGTCATGTGTTATTATGCATAATCCATGTTATTGTTGTTGTATATTACTATTGTTATCCTTGATATACCATCTAACTCTGTGCAGCAATTTAAAACAATAATCTGTAAGAAAATAAAATAGCAGTCAAACATTAAAATATTAGTGCAACTACATAATTTAAAATGCTAAATTAAACACGTATTTCTTCGCACGCTTTAAAAAAGAGACTTTTCAGCAAGTGAAGTTATTAAAGCCTTTTAGTAACTGGTGCTTTACATTCTGTAGGATAATTCTTTTTAGTATATTGTTGAGTTTTACATTCATGTGTCTGTGTGCACATGTGCCTGTATAAGTTAAACACCCCTATAATACAAATAGTATATGCGTATATCAGTGTTTGCATCTTATGGATGCTGGTTTATCAGGTTTCCCTTCTCATTTTGGGACAATGGCAAGCACATCCATGGCCTGAGCCTAAAGGTGAAAAAAATAAATGCTGACATTGGCAGCTGAGTCTATATAAATGGCAGCACACATGCTCGGGATGGAGAAAGACCCAGGCTCAGATTCTGATACCTCAACTTCAAAGGGCATCAGGTAGCACCAGGTGAAATGAGAGTCCTCTGCCTGAAGCCCAGGAAAGCTGCTGTCCACCCAAGTAGACCAGGGTCAGGCAGACTTTGGGGGATTTTGAGAAGCTGTCCAGGGCACCATCACAAAATGGCTCCCACTGGACATGTGGCAAAGGACAAGCCACCTGCTCAAAAGACTGAGTACAAGGCCTTGTTGGGTGTGGAGCAAGGGCATGAAAGAGCTCATGAGTGCCATGCTATTTATCTCCTTCAAGGAGACAATATACCAAGCTAGTTAAATGTTTAGCCTGGCTGGTCTCAAGCAGCTTCTCATGTGGCATGAAATGTCCTTCAAAGCCGGAAGACCACAGTCCCCCCACCACAGCCCAGCAAAAAGAAACTTACGGGGGCACATAGTTGCAGACTAGCAAATACATGTCTGTATCGTTCAGAAATTGCAGGGTTTTACAGAACTGCATCCCGCAGCCAACATGCTCAGTAGTTGCCCAGACCACCTACAGCAGCAGGGAAAGAGACAGTTCGCTTTGTTATTCCAGACAGAAAAGGCACCAACAAATGACTTCTCCTGAACCTTTATTACGGGATTGATACCATTTCTCCACTTGCACATTCCTGAGAATGCAGACAATACTCCTCTCAAACAATTATTTTTCTGGGGTGTTGGGCACCTTGTCTGCTGCTTTATTTTGTTTTTAAAAATTCATTTGTACTTATTTTGTCCTTTAAATTGCAGTCCTTTCTGCAAGATAACTGTAGGAATGATTATGATTATGATTATTATTTTACACAATACTAAACAACACAATTCTAAAATACTGATCAGTAGTAAAACAGCATGTTCTGCCGTGACCTACAGGCCACAACTGCTGGGATTCACTTCGAAGACCGGCTGCATGAAGAGAGAGTTCTTGAGAAGCTCCCTAGAATTGGCTGGCAAACTATTCTGGAGTTGGTGCTGCCACACTGAACGCTCTGTTGCACATGCTTATGCGTCGTGTGTTACTGCCAAGGGCACATGTGCTACCCATTTTGGTGGGACTGACAGCTCAGATTCCGAAGATGGGACTGTTTCTGAAATGGTTCAGATGCCAGCTGCAGTCCAAGGTCCTGGGATGCAAATGGAAATAGATCTGGGGGGCATTAGCTCAAGGGCAGATGAAGGGACCCATCTCCCTGACCATGGGAACATGAAATGGGTAGTTTCTCTGATGGGGAACTCCCACCTTCGGAAGATGCTGGACATTGTCATGGGAGAGAAATCCAATTAAGTACACAGCAGGCAGAGAGGAGACATGCCCACTTTCATAGCGTTCCTTCCCCAAGAGAGATGCAGAAGGGTTCACAGAGAATGTTTTGGTTAATGAACATCAGAATGGGCTCAGAGACTTCTTTGTAACAATAAAGGTTATTAGTAACCACAAATTGTTTGGAGGGAGAGGCATGACTCATGACAGCTACCCTCAAAAGTGTTCCTCAGTTGCTCACAGAGATAGGCAGGGACATAAGGGGTGAGGCCCTCCCTAAGGTAGCCTGATCCCAAGTGGCTCAGGGCTTCATGTATGAGAATAACACCTGGAACTTGGCCCAGGGGCTTACTGGCAGCTCATGCAATTCTTTTAGTAAATGCTGTTGAGAAGAGGCTCCAGCTTCTCTACCAAGCCCACAGGTAGAACTGGGGTCTCATCTGGTCTGGAGGTCTGGATGTGAAGAGGATGGTAATGGTGTTTGATCCTACCTCTCTTCGTCAGTTGGCTACTGATTGGGCACAACCCCACCTCTCTCACCTGCTACCTGCCAACCATGACTTGTGGCAATCTGCACATAGAGCCCCCTCCCAGTCCATCAATGCCATCCACTAGAGAGGTGAGGAGCCCGGGACCTCTACAAGGTTGTTACTCTCCAGTTCCCATCAGCTTCAGGCAGAATGACCAACGGTCAATGGCAATAGTCATCATCCAATACCTGGAGGGTTATAGGTTTCCCTCCTCCAGTTGCTCCATTATATTCTCCTTAAAAGAATTTTTAAAAATACTGGGCAGTTTGTACAATCTAGCAGCCTTATTCAAGCCATGGTAGGCTGCAGTGTGAGCAAAAGGTCATACTGAATGTTTAAGCCATGGTTTTGGCTTGTCATATGCCCAAACCTGGTAAAGATAGGGTGGCTTGCTATCCATACCAACACCCCATCTTCACTGGATTTGGACATCAGGATAAGCTGCTGTCACGGCTCACAAGTCACTTGGACACATGCCAGCACACTCTGCCACCCGCTGTGGCTTCAATAAGCTCTGCGGTTCGTGCAAACTGAGTCCGTGTCTGCTGTCCTGTCCCAGGGTTTCTGCACCCAAACCCTTGGAGGGCCAGGTCAGGAGCAAACACCGCCTCCTTCCACAGAGCAGCAACACCAGTGGCAACGTGAGCTTTTATGAGGCCGAGGGGTAAGGCAAGCAAGTTTCCCTGTAGTCAAAGCTGGCAAGCTCAATGGGAGATTTTAACAGGGAAAAGGCTGGTATTTCTCCACCGTCCAACACTGGCTGGAGCAATTAGGATAGATCTGGACTGTGTAAGTCACACAGTAGTCTCACTGAAAGCAGTTGGAGACATGACTAATCTGCTTCATGGATTTTGGTGGTGCTAAAAAATCCGACCCATGGTTAATAGAATGAGACTTCCCATTGTTAAAAAAGCATTGGTTGAAGCTTTGTTGAGAGTTTTCTTTCTTTGGTAAAAGAGGGGCTTTTCTTGGCCAAAAGTACTTATCAATGCTGGCGTTAACTGCCATGATTTTTTGAAGGGAAAAATCGAAAGAAACTCCCACTCCCTAGAGAAGCAGCTGTGACATCAGGAGCTCTTTATGAGGAACACTATCTACAGCATGATGATTACATATTATGTAATCAGCAGTAGTACAGCATTCACGATTTTTAATCCTGTTGTCTGGGAGTACCCCAGCTCTGAAAGATGTACCCCTGACTTTGTGGGGATGACCTTTTGATGACAAACTTGGCTATAAATTAAAAGTGATTCCAGAACTCCTGGTGCTCAAAGTAAGAGACCCTATAGTGTCTCAGACCACAAAACAACACCATGTATTCTACCCTGCATCACTTTTAACTCCACATCACTGCCCATTTTCGGAATGGCACAGGGATGCATCATTTGCTAAGCTCCTATAACGCTATAAATAAATACCTGCGTGTAGTGACCACACATCTCTCCCTCTTTACATGTTAATGTGGTCATATTATAATATTTGTACTCGTCGTACCACTGTTCCACTGCCGTCGTCACATTCAAGTCTCCATACATGGCAAAGAGGTTCTCACCACGCCAGCCACGCTCCTTGTTGTGTTCCCAGATACACTTTGCTGCATAGCCTTTGGCAAAAGCTTCCAGTTCTGGATCCCAGCTCTGAAATCACAGCATACCAGGACGTCATCATCACACAGAAAGGCTTTCGGTATAAGCCAACGGCAGGAGTGAATGCTCACCACTGAAAATTGGTCCGAGTCCCTGGCCTTCCTAGCAACAGGCAGGCCTGGTGTTTTGCCCAGGATGAGTGAGCAACTGTCATCACAAGGAAAAAAGGCAGGAGGCAGGTCATTTTTCCAGCTTAAGCTACAAATAATATATAATTTGCACCTAAAATTACCCATCCCAATTAGCTAGCACCATATCCCACCTCCCAGTTTGCTTAGAGATGTCCCAAGCTATTTGCATGCACAGTTCTGGCTACTGAAGAATAACAGTTACTGGGCACTGTACCCAAAAACCCTTAGCTGCCTTTACAAATCCCAGCCAAAAGCAAAGATTATGCTTTGTGTATTTACTCTCTTTCACACCTTTCCACCAATATGGGTGCTCCAAGAAATATGTTTTATATATAAATAGATGTGAATTTGAAATAGCTAACACTGCAGTTGGCGACGGTAGCATATGAGGCAGCAAAGGCAGATCAGGTTAGCTTAAAGCATACAGCACAGCCCTGTGCAGGATGCAGGAGTAAAGTCCTGGACCGCTGCTCCAGATTGCAAGAGGGATTTTTAAGGAGGAGAAGAAACCCCCTTGGCACGGAGCAAACCAATAAAAGCGGGTTAGCATAGCCCTTGCCTGGATGTGCTAGTTAACTACATTCAGAAGCATTTTCTGCAGGGGAACATTTGAAAATGCTTCCTGGATGTAGTAAGCCAGCACATCATGGAGCAGGCTACCAGCCAGGACTCGCAGCCTGCCACCTCATTTGGCGCAATTTGTAGAATGGTTCTGGGGCCAGTAGCAGAGCTGAATTGCAAATCCCTTCCCCATTACAACCCAGGGAAGAGCAATGGATAGTAAATATGCAGAGCTCCTCCCTGCTGCGAAGAGAAAGGCATGCCCAGTTTAACAGCTGTGCTAGACTAGAGCCAATGCAAACATCTGGAAAGCCTGTTACTTAACAGAGACCAGCAGCTACTTGCCAAGACATCCCTCCGGGGTACTGAAAGACAGTCCCTTCTCATCCAGCTGGGCTCCATAGGCTACTTTGCCCACCGTTGCTAAGCAGGAAGAGAGAAGTGCCTTTTACTTGTGAGAGTAACATCGCAGCACAAAACTCTGGTTATCTTTTACGGGGTGGAGGGATCCGTGTCGCTGAGCTCCCATCCAAGAGTTGTGAGCCAAGGCACAGAGCTTGACTCACAGCTCCTGAGGCACATGTGCTAAGACGACTTCCTGACGTGAGCCGCTTGGCTGCTTGCGACATGGAGTGGTGCTGACAATTTAGTCAGGGGGAGGGAGAAGTTCTCTTTGAGAGACTCAAGCAACAGCCCAGGTTCCACTCCAGTTCAGGCATGGAACTCCACACTAGTCTAGACGCTATGCATGACACAAGACCAGTATCCCCAAGAAGAATTTCCCACCCTTTTCTGCCTGGCTCATTTTGTGGAACTCGAAACTGTCCTAGTTAATGGGCAGCATTCATATGGTGACTGCAGCACAATTAGTATCAAAAAGTGGACATTTCTCTGTAGCTCTAAATAAATTTGCCTGTCTATGGCTTTTTCACACATATGACTGGAATCATTAGAGTAAATTATGCATGCAGCGCCATTGCAACATATCCTGAGCCTTTTTCAACCCCAGGGCCAAATTCTAATTCAGAGAAACTCTTGGGAGGCACCGTTTGCGGTGGTGAGAACGAAAATGCTGGCATATTCTTGCTTTCAGCCCTGACTGCCAGAAACACACCCCAAACTTACAGCCTATCACTGGGCAGAGTGCAGTGGTAAAATACTGGACCACCGTTTATACTTTTAGAATGTGGTATATGTGTTGGGGGGGGGGGGGCAACAGGAAAGCCAGAAAACCATCAAAATATCCATGGTCATGGACAATGGGCTGTGGCCATCTAGGGAAGCCCAGTGGGCTGAGTTTGGCTCCCTGAGTTGCATTCCTAGTTTCCTAAACAAAGAGAGACAGAGGTCAGAAGTCAGGACCCCAAAGCCATTGTGGGATTGCCCACCTCCCAGAGAGATCTTTCGCTGACATGGTATTTTTATGACTTTCTCTTCTGCCCAAGCATCAAATGAGGGGAAAAGGCTGGATAGAAATTGCAGAACTGCCTATCCCATTGTCCAGATGTTTTGGACTATAACTCCCATCAGAACCAACTAGTAGAGCCAATGGCCAGGAATGTTGCAAGTTGTAGGCCAAAACATCTGGAGGGGCCATACTGGAAAAGGCCCTTCCAATTCTGTGGCTTCAGCTGCTCCAGCTTCCGATCAGCCACTTTTACTGGCAACAAAGGAACAGAGAGTACATGCTCATTCTGGCAGGGTACGGGCCCAAGGAAGCAGAGCAAGTCGCGATTTCCACCTCACTTATTTGGCTTCCCCAGACTGTATCTTAATCACTTTTAATATTTTATTTGGTGGATATTAAAGAGATATTTAAGCTTTCAAAAACAATTCTGTTGTAGAATAGATGACAGCTAAATGTTGCAATGGTTTTAATGAAGAAGGAAAATGACTAATTACATCAAATCATGTTATAGTACTAAAGGAGGAGCATTCAAAGAGTTTGCAGAGAAGCTGAATTAATTCTTTGCATCTGCCTTCACTGCAAAAGATGTAGGGCAGATTCCCCAGGCCTGAACTGATTGTATCAGGAACTGAGGCTGAGGAACTGGGGTAAAAAATAGTGACAAGGGATGACCTTATAGACAAAATGGAAAACAAGCAAACCCATCCAGATGAGTGTTCTTAAAGAGCTTAATTGATAATCTCCTAAAAAATAAAAGGTAACATATCCCATGGTTCTGTCTGCGGCAGAGGACTGGAGCATGGCCGTGCAATTCCCATTTTTAAAAAGCAAATGCAGAGGGAGTTGTCAAGCAAATTGCAGGGCAATTAGTATAATCTCTGTTCAGAATAAATTATTGAAAATGGTCTTTTTAATAAAATTATCAAGCATATAGACAAATATGCCCTGCTGAAAAAGAATCACTATGGCTTTTGCAATGGTAAGTGCAATCTTGATTTAAAGCTTGACGTGAGTGTCAGTAAGCAGGTGGACAAGAATGATTTGGTAGATGGTGTTTAGTTGGATTTCCAGACCTGAGCCAGCCCCTCATCAAAGACTTCCAAGTAAACTTATGTCATTGAATAAGAAGAGTTGTCCTCTTATGGACAGGTAATGGATTAAGGAGACCATCCTATGGCCGCCTGAAGTTGCCTGAGAGGCCATGGGATTTTTCAGTCTCATCTCAGAGGCCCTGCGATCTCAGACATCAGATTCTGAAGGTCAAACCAGTACATTGGCTTCCCACTACGAGGCCACAACTGGACCTCGGAGGAAGGAAAAGGGAAAAGACCAGGAAAGGGACCAGTTTGGCTGATGGCATCCAATTCTTTACAGTGGTTAAAATGAACAGGGTTTGTCCAGAGCTCCAAAAGAAGTTCTGCAAACTGGGATTCCACTGGAGACTTCACAAGGGAAATGCCATTTTTCAGTATTCAATATTCCACACATTCAAAAGACAAGCTAACCCCCAACCCAGACTCAAAGCTCCCTGACATGTGACATCTAGGCTCAGAACTCTGGAATGCTGACAAACATCTCAGAGTTTATACTCATGGTTTGCTGTTGGACTAAAAACTCTGGTTTGTTTCTACCTCAGCAACCCAGAGTTCCAGACTTGTATATCACAATGATCAGGTATTCTTGAACTGTTTACAAAAGCAAATGTAAAGCAGAAGTGATGAGTGCAGGACACTTCCAGTACAACACTAACTATGGATTGTTTAACCCATAGGTGAACCAAGTCAATGTCCTGGTCAACTGGTTAAGAAACTAGAAAGATTAAATGGATTACAGAACTACAGGATAAGCACAAGCCAATATATTAGACTGAGAGACATATAATAAATGTACAGTATTTAGGACTGGAGTGTCAATGGCTGTAGCTAAAGCTGCTCCCCAAGCCCTCAATTAAAATAAAAGGAGTAAGACAGAGGCTGACATCTGCATATAGTTTTCTGGCTCAGTTCTCACTGAAGAGCTGCAGCATCGCAGAATGCCGAATCCTCAGTGCTGGGTAGGAAATCGCTCTGTACAGAAAAATAGACATCAAGAAGAAAGGTTCTGACCAATGCATCTTCCTGATATTATGCATTCATTCAAATAGTTATATTGAGGCGAGGCGAGGCGAGGCGAGGCGAGGCGAGGCGAGAGGAGAGGAGAGGAGAGGAGAGGAGAGGAGAGAAAAGAGGTAAATGGCAGCAGTGATTGAGGAAAGAACTGGAAATTGATGCTGCAGTGCTGATCTGACTGTTCAAGTATTCAGTGGTCACCATTCAGGAAGATCACCCCTGGAGGTAATCTCCCCCTCTGAGAAATGTCCCCTACTTAGCCACCTGCAAATGTGAAATTCCAGGGGCTTTGGGATACAGAACTAGTTCCTGTGGTTCTCTGAGGATAAAGTCTTACCATTAAACCAGCTTAAGTTTGCAGAGGAATAATTCCCTTTCTTTTAAGAAACCCATTTAGAATGGGATGCCTTTGAAAGGATGGAGGGGAAGATGTTTGGACCATTCCTCTTCCCCCTCTAGGGCAGACACATAGGCTTTGGGAGGAGTTGAAATAGCAAGTCCAGCTTGGGTTTCTTATTCCCTTTTTATGATGCTTAGCCAGAATCCATGGGCAGGAATCCAACAGCTGTATTTCTTGTTCCATTAAAATATCGTTTGGCAAGCATTGCTCAATGTATATGCTTATGTATATAAGTATTCCCATGGCAACCACTCTTGCTGACCCAAACAAAAGTAAAAAACATAACTTCAAAGGGGAAATTGGTAAGAAAAACTGACCACAGAACCAAAAGTCCTGTTCTAAACAAATGACTCCTGAAAGATTTGAAGCAGGTATTTGTTTTT